TTTAAAAAAAAAAAAAAAAAAAAAAAAAAAAAAAAAAGACCCAAACCCTTTGCTCAGCTACTAGCTATGGTAAACGTTTCAAAGAAAGAACCGGTATGTCTAGTTTACAATTTGAGAGTGGTTCCATTGATGAGGTCATTGTTAGCTCAAGAATTTACAAATGCAAAGTAGCGTGAGTCAAGAATGAGACAACGTTCTGCCCTACGGATGCTTGGATTATGCAAGTCTTTAAAATAAATTAAATAATATAAATATGTGTCACTTCTCTTGTGTCAAACTACTAATTGGTATTTGAGATTGTATTTGTGCAGCTCAAATAATATTGAATATGGAAAACCTAATGCACAAATAGGTGGATGTTGTGTATTTATCTATATCAGGGGTGGACAAGTTAAATATGGAATTCAGGAGCCAGCAGGATTTTTAGGAGTCAGCTCCATTGACAACAATTAGAGAAAACCTTAAAAGTTCGGCACTAGTTCTAATGTTTAAGGAGCATTGGCTACCATGATCCAATGATATGTCTGGCACTGATCTATGTCAGCCAAGCCTGGGGTGGAGGGGGATTCTTGCAGTGGGGTTACCCGCTCATTTTTGTCAAAGGGTCCTATGTAAAGAAGTTTTACTTACCTGACCCCCACTTCCTCAGCAGTTAGCACTCACTTCTCCCCCCTCCGCTCTGGCTCATGGACTGTTCGTTGACATCCTCACATATAATGTAAGGCTATGAACCCTGAATTAGCTGTGATGACATTAAGAGGGTCTTTGACCACCAGAGTGGAGGGGGTGGAGGGGAGAGGCTGCGGGTGCTGGTCTTGAAGCCAGCAGGATCAGGCAAGTTAAGGCCCTTTACACAGGTCCCCTTGACAAAAATAAGCATTTAACCCTTGCTGTGCCAGGGTAGCCCCACTACAAAAACATTTGTTTTTTTTCTTACCTGGAGATAGACTTTAAAGACCAGGTAAGCTCAGTTTAAAGTTACCCATAGATATCAGATGACAGTTACCCAATCTGACTGTTTACTCACACTCTCAGGTCTACGGGTAGCATCAGATATCCCTGTGCAGCTGAATTCAGGAGGAAATGAGGAGGACTGGTCAGACAATTTGGGACTCTTGTCCAACCATTTAAACCCTGTAATGTGTGACAGATGTTCATACAGCTCAGAGGAGCATTGATGCAAAGCATTTACACCTCTGCAGGGGAGCCAGACATCCTTCTGTGCACTGGGCGGGGAGTGCTTTAAGGCAACTCAATCAGCCCTGAGTGGATTAAACCAGATGAAAGGCCATTTTGTCAATGAGGCCAGACATCTTGATGGAGAAGTCTCAATAAAAATTAATGGGTTAGCTGACAACATTTAAGTGATTAAAAAAAACAAAAACCCAGCATTAACTGGCATGGCGACGTAAAGTAGATCAGCATCCTGGAAAGCATTAACATTAAGCAGCGGGGTGCCAGCTACGTATTAAACCAGATCAGGCAGAGTGCTGCAAGAATAACAGTACAGCCCGACCACGCAGGGTTAAATTGGTAGAACTTTGGATGAAAATTTTTGATTTTAGAACGCGTGTTCAATTTCCTAACGGCTAGTGGTGTCTAATTGTGTTCATTTTGTTGTCACAAAGAGAAGCAGGATGACATTTGTTCTCATTTCCTATCTAAACAAACGCAATTCTAACGGTAAGTGTGATTTCCGTTCAGGAAAAAGCGTACATATTGGAATGCACACGTGCTAGCCACAAACGAAATTGTGTAACATATCCGGGATTCCATTCTGGAGTACATTTTTGACTTTTGAGTCAACATTAGTTGACTCAAATGGTTGCAAGATGGAATGTTCAGATGAATCATTTTGAATGAACATTCACAAGACATTCCAAAGATGGCCATACACTTATTGTTCATATTGCGGCCAGAGCAGAAAAAAAAAAAAAAATCTAACAGATTCCTCCACCCATGTGAAACATGGCAGATGAACAAATTTCCTGTTGCGACTATTGTCGCTTGCTGCTGTCAGAATTAGATTGTAAGCCGTCCGGGGCTGGGCCCTCCTTACCATCTTGTAATGTGTTCCTTATATTGTAAAGCGCTGCGCAAACTGTTGGCACTATATAAACCCTCTATAATACCCAAACAGCGACAGAAGCCGATTGGAGGTTGTTTGGCAGCAGGGCCATCCACTGAGCAAATTTTTGGACGAACAGGCCAAAATTTGTCAGTGTATGGCCAGCTTAAGGGCTCACTCACAGGAGTGTTAAAACGCTGCATACAGATGCACGCAGCACATGCAAATACACGGCCTCGTACACACAGCGGCGTCCGGGGCCGTGTTTATGCGTTGCATACAGATGCACACAAAAAGAAAAGTAACAGTTGCATGTGGGGCCACAATAGTGTCCTTTATGTGCGTTGCACATGTAAAATGCATGCATGGAGCTTAGGGGCAGTGCTGGGAAAACTTCTACACAAAAACGCATAGTTACACCTGCAAAGATGCATATTTTACACAAGAACTCCTGCAATTGCCTCCCTTCTATGTGAATGAGCCCCAATGGTGTACAGCCAGCTTAAGCAATTGGCCAATTTTGTTTTACATTTGTCTATTTATGTTTTCATTTCAGCTTACAAAAAAAAACATTACCAGGGATTGTTTGCTTATTTCTAAATGGAATGATAACAGTTCTAACAAGGAGAATGGTTTTCTTTTTCCCTGGGAAGTATTTGGAACTTTAACAATAACATTTTGAAGGCAAACTAATGATAGAACAGAACAGACAACCACAGCCCTAGAAAGATCAGGAGTCGGGACATATTGAACTGGACTGGCTAGCAATGTAGATCCCCAGCAGGATACAATTACAAGGCAGTTGATGGAATCAGATTTTCCATTTGCACTGGATCGCAGCCATGGAACATAGAAGTGACATTGCAGCAATTGCTAAATGTTCCATGCGGTGCATTGCTCCGATCTACAGATCGCCATGTCAGCGATTTAGGTGCAGAATAGGATCAGCTT